TATATATATATATATATATATATATATATATATATATATATGTTTATGTATATGTATATGTATATGTATATGTATATGTATATATATATGTAGCGAAAATTAGTGGATGAGCGGAGAATCGACATTAATATGATATCATCATTTTTCCTCGTGGTCACGTGTGTTTGTATTTCTATCCTGCGTAGTTCTGTTCCTTCTTGGATTGTTCTTCCTTTGATGGAAATCAACTTAACTTATTATCATGCAAAGCGTCAGCATTTATGAGTTTTGCATCACCTTTTGAGCGTCTGGGGTACTCATACATAAAGGGTATATACATATGTGCTGCTTCTGGTATGTATTTGTGACTAAGGGGAAGATAGTGCGTTTAAAACACTTTTTTCAGGGGGTAAGGGTAATTCTCAGTTATGGATTTCCTTTCCATTTTCGTAAAGCCACTGTGTTACTTTTTCATTTGACCTTCTTTTTCCCGTCCCCAGGTTTAGTATACATGCAACGATCAAGATTAACAAAAAGGTTCTAAAGGGAAGAACTTAAAAATCGAAAATATTTATATATATTTTTTTCAAGCTACTTTTCTAGCTTCGTTTTTTTCCAGCTTGAATAGCTTATTTAGTTTACATTATTATGCAATTTTCTGATTTTTGAGTGTCGTTGTGTCGTGAAATTTTCATTTTTAATAGTAAAGAGTGTATGAATTTTTTTATTTATAGTCATAGCAGCCAATTTTTGAAGGACAAAAAAGTCTACATAGGTTTGTAATCATGGGAAGCGGTGGGTCCATTAAACTATTCGCAAGTAGTTTGAATTCAAAACATCAATCACTTCGGTGGAACCTTTTTTCGATTGCCGCTATCTTATGTCTTCTCATACTATGTACTGGGATTACGGCGTCGCTGATCGTTATGCGCAACAAAGACCACACGAATGAATGGAAGAGCCAGAGAAAGGAAAATGCTATTGAAGATCGGTGGTCGGCTAAGTTTCGTAACGCTATTATTGGAGCCCTTGAGGCGTCCAGTACCATTGAGGGCTACATAATGAGCGATCTCCATAAGTTGCCGAATTTATCAGCCCCTCCGGCCGATCGCTCAACGGACCAAAATTTCCCCAAGTTTGAAATCCTTGCTTCCACGATTGCACAACAACTCCCAAACATTGTTTTACAAGCAATTTCACCGGGTGGCGTGATCGATTTTACGTACCCCCGTTATGAGAGTATCGAGGGCATCGACATGTTCAAAGAAGATTATTACAAAAATATATTTGGCGTTAGTCTTAATGAAACTATGTACATGGGCATTGCCACATACAACGGCCCATGGCACACTCAACTTCCCTCAGGTGAAAAGCTGTGGACCATTCAGATATGCCAACCTGTGTACAATGCGACGGGAAAGGAAATAAAAGGACCTCTTGTCGAAAACTTCTGGGGATTTGTGACTATCAATCTCAATGTAAGCAATATCATCCGCAATAGTGCGCTTGATGAGAATATGAAGGCAGAGGGTATGGATTATCTCCTTTATAGCATGTATCAGAACGGGACAGTGGTCAAGGTAGCGTCATCTCTGGTGAACCCAACTAATGAAGAGATATCTATGTTCATCAAGACTAGTACAGGAAATTTACCGTTTCTACATAGCTTCGGCTTTACCCTCGCTGTAAAGACCCACTATTTGAGAAAATTTGCCACTAATGGAACTGTGACCGTCGTAATTTCGTCGATGTTGCTCGCATGTGTTGTTCTATTTGCTATTATGAGCGCTCTCATCATCTCTTATACACAAGAATATGACGAGCGTATGCATGCGCCCAAGACACCACCGTTTGCGGTATTAACATTTGGTCCGACTAATGGTGAGAAACTTTGGGGCTCGAGCTCTGACGAGATGGACGCCATTACGAAGAAGCTCAAAATAATTTTAGATGCGAACGCTAAAAATGCTCTCGCATATTCTATCCCGCAGCTCCAGCCCTATACCCACTCATATGTGTTTCGAAGGGTAGATGATGCCGTGCGCATGGCCCTCGGTGTAATGAGCGAACTCCAGCGTCGACCCATCGACAAACCGATGCAACGTCTGTTCGGGGAAGAAGGCCAGTTGTTGCTGGCTTACGCAGTGCATTGGTGTGTGGATGCCTCCGTTAGACCTAGCCCCTACGCTGGTGGTGGTTACCTATATGAGGGCCCTGATGTTGTTAATGGCGTTCGCATGTGGATATTTGCAGTTCCCAACGTGATAACCCTCAGTGAACCTGCCATGGAGGCTCTCAAGAGGACGAATCTTTTTTTTTCCACGGTGGAACATTTTCGTCGCATCGAAGTAAATGAGCTTAACCAATCTTTATATTTGATGACTTGTATGCTGTTTGACGGCTCTTCTCAGGTGGCTATGCACCGTTCTTCAGGGGATGGACTTACTCGAAAAAGAAGTCGTATGGTAGCTGCTGAGGAACCAAGACCCTCACTAGAGCTGCCGAGTTGCAGTTACTACGAACAATCTCTGAGTCCAGTATATGCTACCAAAGAGGATTCGTTTAGAAGTTGCACTCCCAACTTAGCCGACCGGACTGCATGCAAACGGTCCCCCCAATGCTCTTCTACATCCAACGAGCAAGGAGGAAATCTAAGGCGGAGTCCGAATAAAATTGAAATCTTACAGGAATCAGAGCGACTTCAACAACCTACAAACATTTATGACCCCAATGCTGCCCCGAAATGCAATGAGTTGAACTCTTGTTTATCATCTTCTCCACTATGTGACGGAGGCCATATACAGAAGCACGATGATACCTACTCGACCCGCAATATTAGAATCAACGTGCGTGTCAACAATACAAATGCTTCGCTCTCAAGTGGTAGTAACGTTCAGCAGCTTCCGTCGTCCCTACGAAACCAAGCTCTTATGATCACTTCCTACGAAAATGATGCTGTATCAACATTATTGCTTCATCCAAACATACCTGCCTGGCAGATTGCAGCCCTGCGCGCCGCCTTTGAAAAGCAAGCAATCACGGTAAAGATTCAGTTTGAAACTGTGAAACTGATTATTTATTACTTTTATTCATGCTATAAGTTGCTCTTCAGGCCACTTGCGTCGGCAGAGCGTATCAACATATTTAGGCGCTTGGTAACCGTCTTCGGTGTGCCAGAGCGTGATATTCTGGAGAATCTAGCCGCACGCTGTGTGATTAGGTATATCAAGAATCACGAAGAATCTAAGGTCCTCTTGAGGACACAAACCCATGGTGAAAAGGACCAACAGCGGCCACTCCTGTAGCATAAAGAATGAGAATTGTACAAGTAGATATTCTCACTACAATCTCCAGCTGTTTTTTTAAATAATGGGTATATTAACATGTAGGGGCACTTATGGTACGGTATCAAACAACATTAGTCTAGAACGCTTTATTTATATATCTATATATGCCAACAATGGGTTCGTTTATTTCTGGGAAATCAACATAGTAACTTTTAACTTGATGTTGCCTTTTTAGTACAGGAGTTAAAAGTGCAATCAAGAGGGGAAAACCTAATGCTAGCTTAGATATTTTCCTGTCTTTTTTATTTTGCAAGCCTATAAGTTGATGCTATGTGGCTTTCCATCTTTTCAAATAATCGCTGATTCTGTATTGAAGCGTGACATATCACGTCAGCTAAGAATTTATTCACCAGAATTTGCCATGTTTTTTTTTTTTAACATATATCATGTGAATTTCTTTTTTATTTTTAGGCTGAGGAAAATTATTAAACTGTAATTAATCTAATGTGATCACTTAAGAATCCTCTAAAAATATTAGAAGGGCAATACGTACGTTCTTCTTTTATTGTATTCAATTCGAAGCCATTCTTTTATTTTCTAAATGTGTCTTACTTCTTTTCGTTTGTGAGTGTGAGTGTTGTGTGCTTAATAAGTTTGCCACTAATTGCCTAGTATGATTGCTTATTCTAAATTAAAATATTGTATTTAAGTTGGTCTCCCTATTTCTAAATGTTTAGCATTGTATAGAGAATTCATTTTACGCACACTCTTCCTTATCTATTTGCTCGAAATTTTACCTTTCTGAGAAGCGTAGTTTTTTTCATACTGTTGTTGCAATTTGTGAAATTTTCACTTTTCAAAAGACAAGAGATAATGAAAGCAAAAATGTGTAGAGTTTATTAAGAATTTTTCTTTCGTTTATCATTGTTACTTATAACACGACGAGTGTGACATTTTTGGAAACTCATTAAACAAATGCGAATGATATTCCTGTTTTGCATATTTGATGCCAGTATCATAGTCTTTTCTTCATGTCTTCCTTCTCTTTTCAGTGAATAATTATATATATATCTACATATCTATATATATCTATATATCTATATATCTATATATCTATATATCTATATATCTATATATCTATATATCTATATATCTATATATCTATATATAGATATATAGATATATTATCAGTATTTTTATATGTATATACTCATAAAAGGTTCAACGTTTGCAACTCTTCTTTATCACTTACTTATTACGACAGAATTCAATTATTTTGTTTTTTTAGCAGACACGTTTTTACAAATTTTTTGTACTTAAGTGAATCCATTTTTCCTGGGAGGAACCTATCTCGGGACTAAAATAGGGATAGTTAGACGCCCTCTGTTTATTAGCATTTTTGTTCTTCTCATACACACAAATGCAGAAGGATTCGCCCTATTTATCAGTTTCCAAAGTGAGTACCAAAAACCGTTCACCCAAAAGGCAAAGACGTTGTTGTCTTTTCATTGTTGCCCTATTCGTCTTTTGGATCCTTCTTATCTCTTGCGTTACAATTGCTTTGTTTTCTTTGCAGCATCTCGACACGCAGGAAAACACTAAGCATAATGCAATCGAGGGTATGGCGAGTGAAGAGTTGGAGTTGAGATGGCGAAACGCCGTTATCGACGTCCTTTCCTCTGCAAAAGTTATGAAAGGGTTCATTATAGGGGAAATTAAGTCTCTTCCTCCTCTCAATGGTTCAAAAAGCGAGCGAATGGCTGGTCAGACCTTCCCGCGTTTTGGGAATGTTGCAAATCTGATCAACTCGACATTGGCGACCTCTCCCGAAATGATTTCAGCTCCGGGTGGGGTAATTTGTCAGACATCACCGGATATACCCGGAATGGTCGGGTTCGATTTGCTTAATTATAATGATAGTGGTAACGTACCGAATTGGATAAGCCCATACAAAACCATAGAAACTGGAGAGGATGATTTGATAGGCCCGTACGTCTCAGGTATTCCGAGCGGCTCGTTCTTGAATGATTTCATTATCCACGTTCGTGTGCCCATCTATAATTTGACGACTTTAAATTCATCAGACCTAGTAAAAAGTTTTTGGGGCTTTCTTTATCTCACTCTTAGTGTTAATAACATTTTGGTCGAATGTGGCCTTCACAAATATGTAGAGGATACTAACATCGAGTACCTCACTTACACAACGACACCCAATGGATATTCAGTCATTCCGATCGAAACAAATTTATTAGGGAAAAAAACGCAAGAGGAATTAATATATTTTATTAGTAAGAGCATCGTGACTGCTATTTTACCACAAAAGCTTTCTTGGTTTCTAGCTGTAAGAAGCCGATCAAGAAAAAACTATTTCAATAGCGTAAGCATAGCTCTTACCCTCTGCATCTCTTCATTTTGTGCTCTCATATTACTGTGTTTTGCTATCTTAATAATACTACATTGTACACGAGAGTATGACGAGCGTAAGCATGCGCCCAAGGCAGCACCGTTTGCGGTACTTACATTAGGATTCTGCTATGGGGATTCCCTATGGAACTTAGCCTCGGATGAAATGGTGCGGATTACCGAGAAACTCACTTCTGTTGCATGCAAGGTAAAGGAGCAGACCCAAGGCTGCTCCATCCCACAACTTCAACCCCATGTAAACTCGTACATTTTTCAAGGCGTAGATGATGCCGTGCGCATGGCCCTCGGTGTAATGAGCGAACTCCAGCGTCGACCCATCGACAAACCGATGCAACGTCTGTTCGGGGAAGAAGGCCAGTTGTTGCTGGCTTACGCAGTGCATTGGTGTGTGGATGCCTCCGTTAGACCTAGCCCCTACGCTGGTGGTGGTTACCTATATGAGGGCCCTGATGTTGTTTATGGTGGTCGCATGTGGATATTTGCAGTTCCCAACGTGATAACCCTCAGTGAACCTGCCACGGAGGCTCTCAAGAGGACGAATCCTGCACTGCATTCACAAATTCAGTTTTTTAACTCAGTTTATATCCGTGGCGTAAAAAAACGTCAGAATCTGTTTACTTTAGAGGATCACAACGCCACAAAAATGAATAAGTCTCTCACAAAGGTGGTGTGGCAGTTACGCTATATGGGTCGGACGCCGCAATATCATCCTCGAGGCTCATATACCGAAACTAATGCCAATCAATTGGATATGTCTTTGGGGTTGATTAATATTCACGTGCCCCATGACGCCCATGACAACACCGGTACTAACCTCGAAGATCATGTCAACTTATTAGGCAATGAGTCCATGCATTCAACGATTTCGTTAAATTCTTCCGGCAATATATCCAGCATAGGAGGGGACCTGGCGTTAAGGGTCACTGATCCTGGTTCTCATACACACACTTCATTGAACTCTCCAGGTAAACAACAGACCACAGCCGGTGGTATGGGTGGGACCGATGTTTGTTCTGTAAACACTGGCCTCAATGCCGCTATATTTGCCTCGAATGAAGCTCAACTGGCTGTTATGAATCAATTTCGCAACCGTTCTCCACCACAAGTAGGAGCAAATCAATGTTATCCTTCTGAATCTCATAGAAATGGTTTCAGCGGCACGGTAAACAGGTTATGTGGACCGGTTGACATTCGGCAACTACCGACCTGTCTGCCGGCACAGGGATCTATACAATCGAAAAGAACATCTCCTTTGCACAACCTCGGTGATCTAACCACTTCCATGACCAAGCAACGCTCTAGCGATGGCCAGATATCTTCAGATATTTCTTATGGAGGGATTGTTGATATGAAGAAGTGCCACCCAACTTCATCTAAAGGTTCACAAATCTCTTCTTGCAAAAAACTCGTGGCTCGTAGACCACACTGTAAGGATGGTAGCTACAAGAATTCCGTAGATGAAGCCGAGTTATCTTGCTCTACAACTTTTCCTCATCCCAGATTGGCCGCCTTTACGGATTTGCTGAATAAAAATACAACTGAAAAAAGTAGCAGTTCTGAAGCGCTGATATCCAAACACTTTCGTGGGACCCCAACACAGCCGCATCTTATTAACGTTCCGCTAAACCCCTTTTTGGTGGCTGAAGTCTTGACTGGGACTGGTCACGAGGGTGAATTAAACGAGTGTTCCTCGCGTAGTAGCAGCCCTGGTTCGAGTAACAGTGCGAACAACCACAACGGAATTTACCAACGATGGGTTAGTAGTAGCGACGCTTTACGTTTCAACGTGAGTGGACCACTTGGTATGCGGGGAAATCTTAATGAATCTTCCTTTCAGATTAAGTCTAACACTAATCCCACACCCACTTGCAGTCTGGCATCCAGCAGCATCCAGCACCCACCCATCCAGGACTCGCTGGACGCGGCACTGCGTACTGCGTTTGAGCATCAGGCGGTTGCTCTCGATATTAGCTATGAATCGGTGCGTGTCTTGATGTACTTCTTTTTTCAGAGTTTAAGAATCCTTTTCAAACCGCTTATGAAGGCGGAGAAGATAAATGTCTTTGAGCGACTGGCTGCAGCTCTGGGGATTAGCCAACAAGGCACTCTCGAGAATTTAGCGGCACGCTGCGTAATACAGTACATGCAGCAACACGAGAGGGAGCTTACGTTGTGGTGGGATCAAATGCTAAAGAAACAGGAAGAAATGGAACAGTAATTTTTTTTTGAATCACATGCGATTAGTTGTCTAGAGAGCGTTAGTTTTAAGGGATCATGTGAATATCATGTTGATTTGTGGGAGGCCAAGGTGTAAGGGAACGAAACTAATAAGGCAGCTATATGTTGCGCCTGCAATGAGTTTTCTGAAGGCCACGTTAATTAGCTTCTATTTTTATTTTTTAATTTTCATGTTTTTTTTAATATTGAATCCAGCACATCACATCTGTTATTAAATCATTTAGTCTGAAATATTTCCGCTACATATTGATGGCCTTCTTTTCTATTTTTATTCGGCTGCATGATGTTGTGAGAAAAAACCAAAAAAAAACAGCTTCCGTGAGACCTTCTTGAGGCTGGTGACAAACTGTGTGAGAGTAGAGGATACATCATTTTTTTGCCTTCATAATTGACTCTATGCCCTTTACGACGTTTGTGGATGAGGGTTCCTTTTAAAGAATTACGTACCCTCTTTCCCTTTTTGCTGTTTGAGTGAAGGGGTGTTCCTCTGAGGTTACACTACAAGTGTCTCCAAGCGTATAGAAAGGTATTGTGCTAACTTATGACAAGACGACACGCAAGGCGCGAGCGCGAGCGATTTATTGTGTTGCATGTCGCTATGAGGATTTATATTGAGCAAACACAGCAGCAACAACAGTATTTTCCGGAAGAGTTCCTATATTTCCTTACGCATACTTCTAGGATTAAGGATGCAAAATCCTCACTACCACATCAGATTGGAGATGGCATTCTCTGTAGTCTTCGGAGACAACTTGCCTGGCTTGGTGGCTTGCGCTACACTGACCCAGATATGTTGACGTTATATCAAGCAGCCTGGGAAGGGGCTAGCATAGGCGCTCACACAGACACACGCGTTGTGGAGGGTCTTCATAGTAAGCTGAATGATTCGGAACAGCAGGAACCCCCTGGAAGCTCGAAGCTGCTCTCATGTGTCAGTGGAGTGATGAAGATTATTTTGTGCAACCAAGGCGTGCATGGCAAGGCAGCGGAGCAACTCATGCGCGCAGTGAGCGCATGTTTACGAGAAGTGCATGTCAGTGTGGTGCTTCCAACGACTTCGGGTCCTGAAACAGAAGAGGAAGGTCGTGCAGGAAAGACGAATGGTGGTAAAGGAGCCAGTTCAGTATCGAGGCACGGCATCAACTCCATTCCTCTTCGGCTGTTGGTAGCGCTTCGCGTGCTAAAGTATCAGTAATAGCATAATCAGCGGAGCGATTCGGTAGAATTTAATAGCTTAAGTGAATCGATCGGATAAAAACTGTATCTGTTGCTCATATTGCATGATAATAGTGGGGTTTACCTTAGCATATTACGTATGAAGCTTCTTTAAATTGGTTTCCCCGATGATGTTTCTTCTAAAATCTTAGCTTCCTATTATGTTTTGCATAGCCCTTTTTATGTCTGCCCACTACCGGTATCCTTGCTGTTAATTTTACGTGTTTAATGTAAGCTGCTTAATCATATACATTCTAACAGAATTTGTATGATATATATATATATATATATACATATGTGTATATATTATACAAACGGAAAAACTGTCCTTGTGTCTTTATCAGGTGCTGTAGCGGGGATTACACTCACTCAAACCTATCCCTTCTTTTCTCGAGAGTTTCCTCGTCTTCAGCCGCCACTATGGTTACTGGTAAAGAAGTGTACTCTCCTTAGGGATATAATTACAGCAGCGTTATTTGCTTGTGACTAAAAATACTGAAACAATAACTAAACAATTAACACATCTACTGAATAGTGACATTCCAACGTTCTGATTGAACCTCAATCTAATTACGTGCATTTCCACTTTGTGTACACTTCGTTCGAATTCATGCCGCAGTCGATTCATCGGCATCATTATGGATCATATGTGCACAGAAGTATGTGCTTACTATCGTTTTCCATTGCTCCAGCAGTGGGAATGCGATCAATGATCACAACTAGCATCTTGAAGCCGGGTCAACGCCTTCTAACTCCTCCAGTCACCGCTGCTCCTCCTAAAAGGAGAGAAATCAACGATAGAAGTATGAAGAGTGCTCGTCTGAGCCAACTAAGGTGTTTTGCTTCTGCACCGAAGCGGTCGATACGATTTTGGATGAAAAATGGATCAAAGCCTACGCAGGCTAATATGCCCATGAAGGTTTTTATGCGATATAAAAGTGACTCTCAAGAAAGTAATGTTCAAATGCCGAGCGAAGATAACTTCGTATTTGATTGTGACCATGATACGCAGAGCTTCACAGAACACCAAGGTACAGTGTCTCCTTTACAGAAGAAATCTCTAAATGAGCAGGAGGAGTCAGACGAATGGTTTGAGCTTTTATTTTACGATTCTCCCTCAAATTTCGATGCTGAGCATAGTGTTATCGATGACCCATTCCCACAGGAGCAGCCAAATGAATCCAGAGTATCCTCCGTATATGAAAAGGAAAGTGAAGCAAAAGACACAGCAATCACTACCTCGGGGGTGGAAAAGGACAATGAAGCGGATGGAGGCGACAATTTCTTCTTGTATATGCATGACTCAGACAATGAAGCTGTTGTGGAGGGTACTGCCACGAGCCAGGAGACGGGAGAAGTGTCTCTCGCTCATCTCGGGTTCTCTGAAGAAGCGGGAGAATCTAATATTTTGGGAGATTCATTCTGTGTGCAAAGGGATGCTGATGCAGGCTCTGTTAACTCTACTGTTATCAAACAGCAAGAGGCCTTCCCACTATCCCATGAGCCGGCACGGAAATACTCTTCCTCTATTCATCTGCTTCATCTTGATGATGATTACGAGGCTTCAGGACCTTGTGAGGGTCTGTTTCATGACCTCGAAGAATCCGCACAGCAGGACTGGAGTGCGCATTGCAAATACAATGAGCATTTTAGTGAACACGTGCCTGATACCCAGGATGGGGATGAGGCGCATGAGGAGGGTGATCTACATGAATTGAGTCGCTCTTGGCAACGCAAGAGCGTCCAGGTGAGCTTTAACGAGGTGGAGGTGCCGCTGAAAATTCCTGACAAGGCGGGACACATTGTTGAAGAGGCTACTACGGTGGGTATGACGAAGGAGACGCAGATGATGACTCAGGATAATACGGGTAAACCAGCATCTGCTTCTGCGACACCCAACAGCAACGCCATCATACCGACATTGGCTCGCATGATGGATGGCCAGGGTTACCTTTCACAGCAGGATAAACTGTACCTCGCGCCGCAGCCACTGGCGGAGCTGCGGCTGGATGAAGAGTGTAGCCGAACGCGGTCGAAGATGTGTGTTCTAGTAGTCTTCGCGGCGAATGATCTGCGTGTGCATGACAACTATAACCTCGCATTGGCTTCCATGCGTGCATACGCTGCAGGAGGGCTTCCTGTAGTGGCGCTGTGTGTACTAGACTATCGCACCTTTGCGCAACCGAGTCTGGTGGGTGGTTTTTTCCGTCAGAGTCCACAGCGGGCTCAGTTTCTGCTTGACACCGTCGCCGCTTTGCGTCGTAAGCTCGAGGACAGCGACCTGCGCGTGCCCCTCCTGATTCGCTGCGGCCGACCAGAGGAGCATGTCCCGAGGCTAGTGGTGGAGCTTGGAGCAGTGGATGTGTTTTTAACAACGCAATACGCCCCACATGAGCGCCGTGTCCACGACTATATCTTGCAGCGCATTAAGAAACGGTGTTGGGTAAGTCGAAGGGTTCTCCAAAACGGTGACTTCGGCTTTGGGAGCCTGACAGAAATGCCTGATCGAGACGAAAGCACAGGGGAAGAACTGGTGGAGGTAGTGGAGCATACTGACAGACATCCCTACATGAGCACACGATCTGAAACTGAGCTTCGCTCGTTAGATGAGCGGGTGACGGTGCACAGCGTGTGGCAGTCAACGCTCGTCCACCTGGACGACCTTCAGACACCAGTGGCCGCCATGAAGGAAGGGGAGCGCTGGTACCATGACGACGTCACAACGGCTGTTATCCGACCAACAAAGCCCTACAACTGGCATATTTCTCGGTTAAAGGATCTGCCAGTCATTGCAAAACTGTTGCCCAGTGAACGGGAGCGTCTGGGGTTGGATCAGCCTTCTCTATTGCGGGGTCGCCTTCCGACGCTAGAGGAGCTGGGCTATGGTGATACACCACGTCTCTTTCGCTTTGAGGAGGTTATCGCGACGCAGTCATCGCATCCCACCGCTGGTGAGGATGCCGCAATAGAACGGGTGGAGGACTGGCTTGATCAAGGTGGCATGACGTCCATGATGCGCTTCGCCCGCATGAGGCGCACTAACACGAAGATGTACTCCCAAAAGCTCTCGCGTGTGTCGCCGTACATCGCTACGGGTGCTCTTTCGCCACGAAAATTTTATGAGATGTTGCGCACTCACACACACGCTAATCTTCGAGATGGATTTGTGCAGATGCAGTACCGCGAGGCATTGCTTCGGCTGTCACGGCGGGATTACTGGCACTGGATGGGGCTACGCTACGGGGATCGGCTCTTTTTTCCGTATGGCCCGCATCCTGAAGAGACGGATGGCATTGCCGACTGGAGGCACGACGGCGCTATAGTACAAAAGTGGTGCATGGGCCTCACGGGGATTCCGTTCACGGACGCGGCAATGCGAGAGCTGCTGGGAACCGGTTTTGTGGCGCACGAGGGGCGCCAAGCTCTTGTATGGCTTCTCACACGTGGCTACGGGCAGGACTGGCGGCTCGCAGCCGAATGGCTTGAACGTTGCTCTCTGGATTTTGACCCATTTGTTTGCTACGGTAACTGCGCGTACTTCAGTGAGCTCATGCACGATGACTTCGGGGAGCCCGTGCGAAACGTGCACTTTTTAGCGCATCATCATGATCAAACTGGAATCTACATTAAGAAGTGGCTGCCTCAGCTTTCGAAAATACCTCCTGTCTATATACATCGCCCACACATTCTTACACCTCGCATGCAGGCCATGCATGGTGTGTATATAGGCAAGAACTATCCTTATCCACTCAAGCTATGGCAGGGAGCACATCGAGCGCTGACAAGTGCAGATCTGAAGGCTTACTTTCCAGACTTGCATAATTTGAGAGGTCCTGGGTACGCTGAGGCAGCTCGGCACGGTATGGCCCTTATGCAGCCGGAGGAATGGAACCATGCTTTCAATGCTGCTTCCATAAGAGGACAACCATGGATGCGCGGTAGCCTTTTCGCCTCAGCATTTGAGGATGTGGTGGAGGAGGAAAACGTTGCTGTGGTCACCCACGATGCTAAATCTACTGCTAGTGCCATGGATAAAACTCTCTTTGCATCTGAAAGTTTCTGTAATCGCATGTCACAGATAGGAGCTATTTGCAATTGACGAAGTGTAATCAAAAGTTTCTGGGAAAGTCATATGGAATAATATAGGGACCATATATTTGATTATATTTTCGTACCTTTCTCTCATACACCACTTTGAATGAGCATTTGGTTCTATGCTCGTTGAGGTGCATGCGTGCGATACATGCCCGCATGCGTATTAACACGATTCACTCCTCTTGTGAGTTTCCTTATGCTATTAATCAGAAAATAATGTCGATGATCAAAAGCACAGTGGGCATCCATGGATCCCAGACCGTACCGTGCATGCCGATTCCACATAGCAAATGAGGCCCCAAGTGTTCCTCTCGATATCTATTTTTAAGACTTTGGAAATTCTTTAATCAACATCGTTTGCGATCAAGCAGCAGAACATGCACATGCCGGGCGATTTCTACACCCCAAAGAGAAGGGCAGAGTGGGAAGTGCATCATACAACGTCAACTTTGCATCTTCTCTCCTTTTCTTTGGTTCACGTAATTGTCGATATTTTTCATTACCATTTTCTCAGTAGTGGTGTAAATTGTTCCTCCTTTCACATCATTTTGGGCTATGAAACAGTTTTTGATAATATGGGTGAAGTGGTTTCATTTCAACTGTATTCATTGATATTTTGCTACAGGTGAGAGGCTGGAAAAATATTCCAACAAGAATCGTGGCTTCTTACTCTATTGTACTAGTTGGATAGGGATTACCTAGGTATTTGAATTACATAAGATTAGGCAACAGTGTCCCTTTGACTATCAAAAATGAAAGAAAAGCTTCCACTCTTTTTCTCCTCTTTGCTTCATTGAAACATGCAAATGATCATGAACAATCAGGTAGGATAATTCTTTTTATCGTAGATCCAATGTTTTCTCCATACCCCAATAGACTACAGTATCGCTCGCAGCCCTCAAGAGCTAAAATTGATGAGTGTATGGCGCCTAGCCTTCTAAGATTTGCAACCACGCCGGGAGGGGAGGCCCCTATCTGCGAGGGTGATGGAGACGATCTTATGAAATCTTATCAAAGTCGTATTAACCATGCTTTGAGTGTGATTCGAGAGAGCGGTGTGCCGCTGGCCCGGCCTCCCGAGCTTACCCATCAAGCTACACAACAGCATATAGAGGGAGATGAGAACTCCGAAATGGAATTGGAAGATGTTCTTGAGGTACGTCAACAAGAGGAGGATGTTCCAGTTCGAATGCTCGATATCTTTCACGCTGCCTGCGATGGGGACTGTAAAATGATAGAGTTAAATTTACAGGCTGGCGTCAATGTCAATATTATGGGGCAGCCCAATCCAACGGCTTACAATGGTGTGCAGTTTGAGAAGCGTTGGACTTATTTTGCGACGCCTCTGATTTTTGCTGCAGCCTTTGGTCGTGAGGAAGCAGTATTGTGTTTACTGAAGCACGGTGCCGATATGCGAATTCTGTCTTCTACGTGTCTAACAGCGAAGGATATTGCTGTTCAGCGTGGGTATCAGGCCATTGTTAACATACTTGAAGAGTCTGGACGCGATATATGAAGTTGATATGTCGACCACCTTAAATGGTTGAAACTACTCAACCTATATTTATCAAAATGTAAAAAAAATATACGTGTTATTATTTAATATAATTTTTATTTTGGTATTTCGTCAAGGATAGCATGACCTGTTTATTCCAAATCGCAGGTGTGTTTCCTCGATCACTTGCTGTTGTGCTCGGTGATGTGCACGCCTTATTGCTTCTTGATGTGTTTGCTTTTACTCTTCATGTTTATTAATGGTACTGAAAATAGTGGGCTCAATCCAAATGAAATTACAACATCAGATGCTATAATTTTCTTTTCGTAATGCATTGTATCAGGCGATTTATTATTGTATTTTTAGCCCTTTTACTGTCTTTATTTTTAATTTCAAAGGGGACAGTACAGTATTTTTTGATAACTTAAATAGAGTATATAATTTACGAAGGTAATTCGTAAAAAAAACGTCAATTCTGTGGAGCTAATTTTCTTTATTGACCTGTGGTTAGCCTCCTGAAAAGGTCTTTGGCATCCAAGGAATTCAAGTGGATATAGAAGAGTTAAAATAAGGAGGTTTTTTTTGTAGCTTGTGTCTTTTAGACCACAATCTAGCCTTCAATTTTAGTAATACCAGTGATACTACTGGCAGCGGTCCAGTGAACGTCGGCAGGAGGCTGGATTTAATCGCTTTTACTATAGTGCCCCTCTCCTCCTCATTCGTTTTTCGGAGTATCATACTTCGAAAAACACACGCATAGTAACGCGACTACTCTTACAAATTGCTTGAGTATCTGTCTGTGGCTTGAAGATAGGATAAACTGTTGATGAAGGCGACCCCCGTTAAAGAGGAATGGCTCGATACATCATCAAGCGCACCTGATCACCTGAAACTTCCAGTTCAAAGCAAAGAGATTATAAAACCCAATGACGATAGCAGATCCCATTTTTCTCGTGACAGGTTTATTCAGAAGCTGAAGCCAAACTTCCCGCAGCAGCCACCAGCCCCTGCAACTGATCGGGCTCAGAGTTGTCGTGATGGGGTTGAGCCATCCACTTTACGACAAAGAAGGGAATTTCTGAATCGGATTAGCGCAAGACCATTGAATTCAAAACAGACTAATCGATATTCAAATACAAATCTAAATGGACATCAGTTTTCTAGACGCAAAAATCAGTCAAACAATTCAGCCCGTTTGAATGTGCATCGCAATACTGTTGCTCCCGATCGCATACTCCCTAGACAATCTCAGCAGGTTCATCACTCTCCGCCCGATACCCTCAATGGTAACACAAGTGGCGACGGTAGTAGTAGCACCATTCAAATTATTTGTACATCGAGCAAAAGTTCTCTGGCAAATGCTAGCGGCGCTAATTCATCCGATTCCATGGAGACTTTTGCAGCTAGTTCTCCAAGACACCAAAGGTTGATAGGAGAAGGTTCCCGCACCCTGCCTGATGAGATGCTTCAAGAGGCTCTAACTAGTTTTATTCGACATCTTCCAAATGCATGGATGCTCCCCATCCTTCGTGCTGTAACATTACAGGTTATGACTGAACGGCTCCCCATGCGCATCATGTCCTCCTCTGTAATTTTTGATGCTTATTCTGAGGCCAAAGGGGAATTGGTTCATGTTTTAAAGAGTTCTGGCGTCCCTCTAGGCAATACGATGGGGCAACTCACAAAATTGTCCCCCAATGACAGAACTCGTAGACTAGAGGGAGTAAAAAGCCTCCAAATGGGCACTAGTGACGAGATCATCACGTGCCCAATTAGTTCAGACACCTCCATACAACCTGGAGGTTCTCATTTAGATACCTCTTCTGGGTTGGTGGACCTAGTGGGCTTGCAGCTTGTGGTTCCCGCTATTTTGCGCTTTCGGTTACATCACATAAAGCAATTACGAATCCAAGAGCTGGTCAATCGCTGTGATCAGAATGCCCAGTTGTGCAAAGAGCAAGCAAAGACTGCACTCACACGCGAGGCAGCTGCTATGCAGCTCTTTTTTGATCAAGACGGCGACATTCAGTTCGGAGCCCATCTTCGGCAGGGAGTACGGCGTTTAATGCAGCGTGGTTCACGCCTTCTCTTGCCGCACGCCATGAGGACCTCAACTGCTGATGTACAAGGCAACAACCCAGTGGCCATCACAAGCTGGGCCGCTGTTTCGTTTGAGAACATGCCCTCAATTTTCCTCAAGGCTCGTGAGGACAGTACCATCTTGAAGGCCCAACAGTCCAAGGGTGACTCCAACTCTCGTAGTAGCAGCCGCCGCCACCGAGTGCACCCATTCTTTACATGTGAGTTTGCCGCCACCTTAACGTGTGGCAGTGATGGTGGTTGTATCTTTGCGTCGGCGCTTGCGACTGAGTTTTTTGTCGGGATGCCTTCTTTCATTTCCCAACCCATGAACTGTATCGCATCCGCGATTCGCGCGACGCTGCACCGGATGTGTTTGGGGGTCACGAAGGAGACATTGCGACGTTCTAGCGTTAAGGCACTAGCGCAGCCGCACACCTTGAGGATGCCGCCGTTAGATTTGGCTCTCTTGTATGTGCGAGGTTCTCAAGTGTATTATGCGTCTACCACTGGAATCAAAGGTAAGCTTTTCTTCATGAATAGTGGTACCCAGGATCGCTGTTCTGTTGATTTGTGCAAAGACTGCCTTCTCGCGAATGCTGGAGCTAGTTCTTCTCCGACTAGAAAAGTTAATGAAGGCCACAACACAGGTCCCCTCGATAACTCTAGCTCAACGGGAAATACTACATCATTGACGCCAATTGACGCTGGTCGTGATAACACGGTACCCAAAGGTGGCACTTACGATATGCCCACTGTAGTGCGTGGTTTTGTGGATCTGTCGAGCTTTGCTTCATTTAACATGGTTCCTTCTACGACCTCACGAGAGCATAGTTTAGGTTCTAAAGATAACCCGAATGCCGTGAGCATGAATCATCTCTTGAAGAAATCAATCCGTAGTAACCCGTCTCAGACCCGAATCGTGTTTCCACTCGCTGTGGTGCTTAGCTGCAGTGAGTTCTGGTCGGCTATGTCAGCTACACATGCAGTGGACCTGCTTCGAACGCTAATAGTCCTGGACCATGAGGCGGCAAGCTACACCAAGGCATTAAGGCTAGAGGGGAAAGCAGACAGTGAACAAATAGTGCCTGTTGAAGAATTTGTGGAGGCGCAGCGAGACAGGGCTGGCGACAGGAGTCTTGAACACAACGTCGCCGTACAGAAGGCAAAAAGAATACGTGAGTACTTGAACTCGCTCGACTCGATATTTTTACCTGATGCGCGTGCGCGCATGGCGGCTTTCTACGACAATCGCGTCAAGTACTATATCCAGATCTGTAAGCTTAGCAAATTGGACTCCTCACAAATATATGCCGAAGAGCTTCGTGTAATGGCCAACGAACGTAGGAAGGGAGGAGGAGTGCCTTGGTATCCCGATCCCCCGCCCTCTTTTATCGATGAGAATTCGCAAACTTTACATTTCGCCACACGCATCCCGCGAGCGGGACTAGGAGCCCCGTCACGCGGTGATGGGGATGATGGCCAGACCCCTAGCGATCCTCTGCAGGTAAAATGGCAAGGCCCCACCGCGTGGAGGGACTTTCGCAGACCCAGCACGCGTGCTGCGGTGGATGAGCAGTCCTTGTGTGACGCCCTGGCCTCCTTCCTCGCGATGGAGGCCTCCATCACCGGGCGAAAGAACTCCCAGAACGGTCCCGGTGGGAGCCACTTTAATAGGGATCCCGACACACTGTCCACGACGGTTGCCACACTAACCCCCCAAACCTCAACCTCAATGGATTGTATCACAATCCCAGTCCCGGCGGAAGATGCCACTTCCGCCCCTTCAACCAGGAGTAGTGACATCAATAACGGAGAAGCCCCTCTGGATGTTCAAGAGTCGAGTAATTTGGACTACCCTCGCGTTCCTTTGGAGGTGTTTAACAATGCCGAGGCTGCGTCCAGCATGGAAGGAGTCGAGGGCGGTGAGCCGTACTCCGTTGTGGTGGTCCTACTTCCGGCGGATATTATCTTCGCTGATGCGGGCAGACGCAGCAGAGGGATGAGCGCGATTCACCATGCGCGTCGCAGCTATTCACAGAAGCAGCAAAAGCAATAATACCTGAGGAAGGTTCACCTCCTTGGAAGAGAAACAATAAAATAAAGCTTCGTTAGTAGTGCTTTCAAGCGTAGTATAATGTTTGCATTTCCCTACGTTTGTGTGGATGAAAATTATTCGCAAAGAATAGCACGTTCAAACTAAGCAACGAAAAAGTAAAAAAGGGATAATAAATTATAAATAAACAGCAAAGGACAATGTATTTGCAGTAATCATTCCAAGCAGTGATACTTTGCATCAGTAAGTTATCCCCCTTCCATGTACATTTACGACTACTCCCTTAGATTTTTGAGAACAGAGTTTAGTAACATTTTTCTGCTTGAAATATGACCAACCTGGAAGCAGCATATTTTATTATTGTAATTAATATTGTTTTTTCCCTTCCAGGGAATCCTTAACATGCAAAAATGCCATTTATCGGGTAATTTTGAGCGCCCACTTTTATTGGCAGCAAAAGTATCATCTCATCGGGGACTTACTTTTTATGATTTTTATCCTTGCATGGAAAACAGAAACTCTTATTTTGATGGGAAACAAGAGGAAAAGTATGTCAGTCACCACCAGCCTTTTCTTTTCCCTACTCCGTCAAACAGGAAAAGGGAAGGATTACTCTTTACTTAAAAGGAAGGTGCGCATCAGCTTGCAAATACCTTTATGCGTATATATATCGGGTTAAAACTTGAGAAAATTATAATACCAGCAAACGTCTTGTCAAAATTTCGATAGTTCGAAACTGCCACAGCGATGGAGGGAAATTTCTACATCTCTGACGTCATAGTAGACTTTAAACTAGGTTCGAACTACAGTGTCGCATATGAGCATTGCAGGGAAGAAGTACTTAGGTACGGAAAATGCATGGAAGCTTCACAAATCAACCGCTCGCTAAACAAGAACGTGTGTCTCCGTGAGCGTCAAGAACTTCGTCAATGTGTCGATGGACGTCTCAAATCGATGGGGAGAAACCCTTTGCCTTCAAAAATAACATAAATGTTCCCTTATGCACCGTCCTCGTGCTTCATTCTTTATCGTCATGTTGACGCGTCCTAAAGGGACGCATTCATATTATTTAACTGTATATATTCGATTAAAATATTCAAAGGATAGCATGACGAATATATTGCCTGGTACCAAAACTGCAATGAAAGCTCTAAAGGGGAAGCCCTTGGGAGGGGGGTATGTGGTAATTAAAGGCAGCATATCAACGCACTTTTCGTACTTTCCTTTTTCAAGGTCAACGGTTGAAGTCAAAAAATGTTAACCCTTTAAAGGGGATTCAGTTTGTATTTTTCAGGGTGTGGCAGCGCTAAAAAAACAGCTGCCTTTTTTTCAAAAAAAACATTCGCCATTAGATGTGATCGACTGAAAATGTGCTTAAGAGGCAGTGCTTCGTTGAACGAAGAACTCGAATCCTTTCAATTTTTCGTTTGAGTCTTCTCGTAGACTATGTTTCCCTGTAAAGAGGGAGCACCAGGTTATGCAAAAACGTTTGCATTTCTTGGGTCACTTTTTCCTTGTTATCGGTGTAATAGGAAGTATTTCAGCGATCTACAATGGCACGTAACCACTACGACTACGTGCACCAACTTCTGTGCTCAACGACGATTTCTAAGTTACAATTCCTTTTCTATATCGAAGATGTATGCGATGCAGAAAAAGCAAAAGAAGGCGCACGAAGGAAACCTCGAATGGGATTGTGTAGGTGGTATACGACGCCGAAAAAGTAGCCTGGGCCATCGACCACTTCAATCATCTATACAAGCTCGTAAAGAGGCAGAAATGATGTTTCCGAAGACCCTCAAAAGTGGTCGCCCTGAGCAGCTTAACACGCGGTCTCAGCAGATTTATTTTCAAAATCCAAGGAACGCTGAAGAATTTTTGAAACAGCAACAAATCGATCGTGAATACGTCCAGCGAATGCGAGAGGCGGAGCAGGGCAAAGATGTTGATCGTCGCTTCTTCTCACGAATTAAGGACTACCGGGATATCACAGACCCTGACCCGTATGCAGCGGTCTTTGGCGAGAGTGCCAGTACGCACCGTCTACGCACTGCCGCCTGGCAGCGCCAATTTGAGAAGGAGAACGAAGATGTGGAGCTTCCATATGAGCGGACCAACTCCATTGCGCGGTTGGCACCAAACTGGTTCGTACGTTACTTAGTAAATTTACGCGATCAAGGCGGTTCGGATCATCTATACTTCTTGGTGGCTCTTGGGTTTTTAACTTTGACTTTGCTGGGCGGTGTGATTTATCTGTTCCGAGCACCTCCTAGCAAGTCCAAACCCACTAGTGAGATTCGGTGAGTAATCAGCTCATAAGACTGAGTTTAGGCGTCTGAAAAGTCATTCGGATCTGTGGAGAAGATATTTTCCGCCCCTTACTACTCTGCCACGTTTTCAAAGGTGAATACGTCGTGAAAGGTTGCACACATTGTGTCTCTTGACGAGGTTCAACTACTGTTCCTTGTTGATGCGTTTTTATGTACATCAACGTGTACACAAAGTTTATGGTTCGACCCCAGTTCTGCGTCTAATTTCGAATGAATTCAACTGAAGGCTGAAAAAATAGTGGATACAGGTTATTTTTAATGTCAGTATAATATACCCTTTCAAGCATATATATATCTATATATATATATGTGTGGGAATAAAGATAAGTTGCTGTTTCATATAGGAAAATTATTTTATCTCCCTGAATCTTATTTTTCTACTCTGTATTTGTAGTGCACTTGTTTTCCCTCTGGATATATGACGAGTCAGTACGCGCAAGCTAAACACTGCCAGCTGTTCCAAACTGATCTTGAAGATCTTCTTCTGTTGCCCACACGCGTCATTTTATGCGGCAACGATGCCAGTCAAGACAGGGATGCTGGGGGAGTAGATTCACGCATTGTCCTTCCAACCCTAGGTGGTGCCCTTAGTAGCCTTCTAACAGCAATTCACGTCCGTGCGTCGATCGAAAATGCCGTTGTGCGAGTGTTCATTCCTAAGAGTAAACAGGAGGCCCTACTGTTAGACAACCCGTACGTGCAGCTGCAGCAACAGCAGGCAATAGTCCAGGAAGAAGACAAGAAAGAGGTGGTCAATGCGGGATTGGAATCGGGTACATCCGTTCACACACGGCGCCCATCACCAAAAAAAATGTTGCATCGTGTGGGTCGAGTGGTCGCACTGTTGTCGAAACCGAAAAGCACGAACCAGGGTAGCCATAGCGGGAGCACGCCTTCTGGAGAGGAGCTGTTGTCATCTTGGATGTTGGCAGTCCATCTCGGTGAAAAAATTGAGCTTTTTGCTATTAAATGCGTCTCTAATGAAGTACTTTCCGAGCCTGAGCATCTTGTGTATCTTCACTCCACTTTAGGCAAGCACCCAATGTCACGTGCCGCATTGAAGCAGGCCCCAACGAATGCGACGGACAACTTCATCTTGACAGGTGAGCGTGCCGAGGTAGTTAAGAAGAATTTGAAGGATTTACGTGCTGTTTTCGAGGCCGTGCGTCTACACGAGAAGAAAATGAGTGGTGATAAAAGCGCCGAGCCACTGCAACCGCTTTTATCTCACATAGGGGTGGATGCTGGTGTGAGCAATGTATCGCACAACGTCGCGGGCGTCCCCCTATTCAAGCGAGCCCGTACAGATGGCGTATCAGAGATCCAAACAGAGTCGGGTAAAAGGCATGGAAATCAGGATGTCATTCCCCAGACGTATGAAGAGGCGGAAGTGGAGCAGACACAGTATTTCGGCGAACAGGAATATTCGAAAGCTGTTCGATTTTCTCGTTTAAGTCGCGAAAACGAGACTCTTACGCAGCAAGTTGATCAGCTACGACAGGTGCTTCAGAGCCGGGATGAAAGCCTGGCCCTGCTGCATAAGCAGCTGCGGCAAGCTGAGGAGCAGCATAAAAGCGAGCTTTCACAGTGGCGCCTCAAAGAATTAGATGAGAGAAAGTCTCATGAGCGGATAGTGTTAGAGCAACATACAAAGTTGAAGGATAACGAAACCCTCCTGCAGAAGGCTGACCAGAAGCTGCGCGAGTTGGCAAAGATGACCGTAAAATACAAAAGTATATTCGACGAGGTCATGCGGCGCATGGACTTAAAGGGTAAGAGCCCAGAAGAGGTTCTCATCATACTAAAGGATGATAAGTGCTCAACGCCTTTTTAGTGCATTCCAAGAGGCATTATGAGACACACATACCTGCAACCTAGTGACTCCGAACAAGGGGAAATACTTAAGAATAAAAGGTCGATGTTTAATTGAACCATTGAGCTGGCTATCTTTTATGAGAAGCTGACATAAAAAGAATGGTAAAATTTAGACCAACAATATATGTTTTTTTGTATTGAATAGGCTTTTGGGTGCTATTTATGGTGACTAACTTCCCTTTTAATTGATCTCTTTCCTATTGTTTTTCCTTTGTAATAGCCTAGAACAATCCATTTGATTTGCATAATTCACGGCTCAAACTTTTGTATGCCAACTAGATCGAAAATAAATATACGTTGCTCCTCGCTTACTCTTGAAGATTTCAATTATAGGGGCGTTTGCTGCCGTTAATTTATGTGACACTAAAATAAAAAAGCAGCATTTTTGCTCACACTACTTTTATTTTAGACCACACATGATATTCATATCTCGTCTGATCGTCCGTATAAGTATCTGAATCCACTCTTGGCTTTCTGTATGCCTTGATTTTGTAGCCAGACAGAAGAAGTAAAACGGAAAAGGTGTAGAAACCCAGAAATGTCAAGTGGGGTTTCCCGTGTTGCTTCGATGTTTTATTGTGTTTTTTCTATTGGAATCATAATTTTATAGCTTTCGGGAGAAACTAATCAAAAAATTGCGGTCTGAGACTCTGGGTCGAGATTTGTATTCCTCCAGAAACGTTTTCTTTCCGGATAAGAGTATTGGAGTGACGCGCTCACAAAAGGAACGAGTGTGATTCATTGTATTTGCATGCGACGGGCCCGCCGTTGTACTCTCCTTCTCTCCACGGCAGATCCCTATGAAGAAGCTTTGAATGTGTACTTTTCTGCTTAGACAGTATGTTTACTGCGTTGCAAAATTAATTAAGCGACCCATAATGAAGGGTTCTCTTCTCTTCTCTCTATTCTCTCCCTGCTCCTCCTCCTCCCTCAAGATGGCTTTTTTATTCGGAAGATATTTATCATCATAATTTATCTACCTTTCTGACCTTTACTTTTATTTCCATATTAACTGACAGAATACCATAGAAGAAACAGAATATCGAGGACGTCGATTCGGACAGAGTCCTGCGACTTCTCTTCCGTATCTTAGTTCACGCACAACTGCGTGATGGCAGGCAGTTCTATAGACAGCAGTGTTGTTTTGTTCTTCTTTGCTCACGAAAAGCTACTCTTTCGCTGTCCTGTGGAAAATCCCTTTGCCATTGACGTTACTGCCGCTTCCTCTGCTTCCATATCCCACCCCTTAAATGCCACATTAAACAGCAGCAGCTCGAGCAATAGCGCATCAGTGGGTGGTGGGGTGCCGGCCACTACAAACTCGCAATCGAAACGAGCGTCCGTGGCCGTTACGGAGCTGAGTTCCTTGGCTGATCTCCCCGGCCATGTCGACGCGGCGGGTGAGCAGGACGGCCATCATAACGGCAACCAGCGCAGCCGAAGCCCAGTGGCCGCCGTGGGCCTCGCCGCGCGGCATAAAAAGAAGCCCAAAAAGATTAGTATGGCGCACCCCGACTGCGTGCCAGACACCGCGACCGCCCCGTACGCGTCGAGTGGGAGGATCGACAGCAGCGGGGCTGTTGCCGCTGGCCCACCGGCGCGGTCACAGGGAAGTGGGACCAAACTGCGTCGCCCTATGCCTGCCACCAACTCAGCTTCCACAGCCTCAGCCCTCACTCAGGGCAACTTAGAGACCTCTGCCGCCGCGTCGACAGGAAAGCTGAGAAGCACTTCTACCTTTGGTAGTAGTAAAATACGATGGATGGGTTCCAGTAGGATTACACCGGCCCCCACGACGGCCACGTGCGTGGGTATTCATGTGAACTCTTTCCTCCATTTGTTACGTGCACCCTTCACCGGGTTCACCACCATAAATTTGACTAACTGCACGCTGTTGGTGTTGCCCCTAACCGTCACGGGCACCACCTATAGCAGGGGAATGCCTAAGTCGAGCGGCACTTCCGCGCCGGTGGACGGCGATGGGGGCATGGCTCAAAAGCTGGCGCGCGCCTCTACAGCGATGCTGGTCGCGGCGATGTGCCGCCCGGACACGGACAGCGGCACGATTTCGCGTTTTCTGCAATGCTTTATGAATATTCTCTACCGTGAGGAGAAGCGCGTACAGTACGTTTCGAATCAAATTAAGGTCATGGAACACCTACTAAGTGAGTGGGAAAGGGGTAGAGGAGAGGTTCAGGGCGGTGTAGCGTCGACCACACCTTCGAAGGAACCCGGCTCTTCCGAACTATGCGCTATTAATAGCGACACGACAGAGGATGTGAATCGATCGACGAGTCGGCGAGAGTCGGCCATATCGCCTCCTGGTTTAGCAGGCACAACCGAACCGATGCGGCAACCAATGTTGGAGCCGTCCAGTGGCAGCGTCGACCGTTTCACATACTTGGCTGGACACCCAAAGGCCACCCTATGTGTTACCATAGCGCAGCTAGCCCACTCGATTAACGCCTGGTGTGCGACGATGCGTGCAGCAGAGTACCGCTTGCCGTGTTCAACAACGAGTATTGCCGCACACCCATTCCTGCGATTCCATTCTGGAACCAGCTCGTGTGCAAGCCAGCATGTAGCTTTGGTACTGTCTCCCCCGCCGCTTCTTTCAGGTGCTATTTTGATCAAGGACATGCTACGCTTACCCCTTTCCTTGCTCACTGGTGTCGCCCCCCGACCGCAGCATATCTCTTCCATCTACTTCAACCCCAACCCACACAGTCTCCTCCGTCTCAACCCTGGATGCAACTTATCGTTGAGCGAGCTAGAGAATGAGTATGTCGAGGCTCTTGGTCGGCGTCATGCTCGTTTGTTTCCGTTGTCAGCCGTGCAAATGTGCTTGGCCAGGCTGGCGACACCGTGGCGTATTGGTGCATTAAATAAGAGCCTGGAGCGTGCACTGATTAAGATGGGTAAACCGCGGAGGAGTACGCTTTCTCGACAGCTCCAGCAGCAGAAGACCGACGGAGCGACGTGCCAATCTCCTGTATCCGAAGCTCTTGGGGCGTCACACTTGTATGGAGGTTCCGAGAGAGAGGCGCACACGACGGTATCCAATGCTCTGCCTCAAGCTTCGAACTTAGACTTCCTTGCTGCTGATATCGTGGAGTTTCTGCAGGTACAAGGGGTAATTTTGGTTGATCGTGAGTTTAATGTGTCCTTTACGCATGGTGATGTGACGCCAGCGCATGTGATGTCTAAACAGCACAGTAAAATCGCGCAGGCTCAGCTGAAGCTGCGCAGGAACCCCAAGACTGGCGGTGTAATGCACTTAACACCGCTGCAGCGGGTTGCAACCAACACAGGTAGCCAGAGACCCCTTCACGGGGCCCAAGGGCGCTACACCACGCTGCCCTCAATCCTCCTACTGAACATGCTGATGCTCCTTTTGGAGCGTGGCCGTGAGCGGCCCTGCCGATCTGGTGGCGTTCACACTGGTGCCATGCTTGATACATCGAATAATGGAATAGGCACGAAAAACCCTTCTAACGTGCTCGAAGTTTCTCCGCAGACATCTTTAGGAAACGACGCGAGTGTATCTTTTATGTCCAACATGCTACTCAGTAGTAGTCCGCTCACGGCGTCTACAAAGCGCCCCCAGCACATAGTCGTCGGACAGCAAAATTTGTCAGCAACGGCGGGCCCCGGAGCTGACGAACGGCACGAACTTGTTGCGTATTGTGCCTGGGGCTCTGCCTGCACACTCTGCCAGGCGCTCGCTGCGAACCCACAGTGCTGGCTTTTGCATATCAAGAGCGACTACAATTGCTGCGGTGGGTGCTGCCCCGTCCACTGTCAAGCCTCGGGTGTTCTTGAGGTGCCAGTGACGATGCATTTTCCCTTCCTCGATCATTCAGTGCGTGTGTGTGCACATCATGAAGCCAAGCAGCACAGGCAGAAGTTTAACAAAGATACTGGTCCCTTATCGGAGATCACCCGCACCTACAGCCATGGTGGAGCTGACGGAGCAGCACGTTTTAGTTCGCAACATAGTGGTACTGCTTTCGGTGCAACTCACACGCAGATACAGCGTCCATGGTTTTTAAAACCAGAGATTTACATGGGATCCGTAGAATCTCACATAATGTCCTCGTTCGAAGTGTTTAAACAATTAACTTCTTCAAATGCGGCATCTAACAACCGTCGTGTCAACTTGAGTTTGACCGCCACTGCCTCTTCTAAAGCCCACATTCGTCCGGATCGGATCGGAGACGGAGTGCGCAATAAAGGAAACCCTCACCTCCCGAGTCGGCTGAATACTGAAAAAGGTGAAGACTGCCTATTTCTAAGTGCGGAGTCCATCCCAATGGAGGCCAGAGCATGGCTTAGTCGTTTCGCGGCTACCATTGTTGGCCGGGTAGAGTACGCCATGGAACGCCAAATTCAGCTTGAGCATCATCTCATCTCAGGGCCTCTTGCACCTGGTGACGACAATGAAAATAACCATGCTGGTGGTAGTGAAGTTCCTCATGGTTTACGTCCTGCCGTTTGCAAGACTTCTAAAGGGTCAGGCAAGGCCTCCACCACCACTCTCACGGTTGCGCCCCAAGTGGATCCGAATGCCAAGGCAATCACCACCTTAACGGAGCCGACCTCTGGCGCAGCTTGCGGGTTGAAAACGGGGGTACCGCAAACAGACGCGGCCGCCGCTTCTTGCAATCCCTTGTTGCCGTCTTGTCCTCCCGCTTCCGCTGACGTGCACATACCTTCCCACTCAATGCGCTATACAAAGCGACAATTACCGGACTGCAACGCGACCCGCCCTGTCCCACTTGTTGAATACCCGCTCTTGGCCTTAGGCAAACCTTCTGAGAGTGCCTCGCTTGCATCTCACCAGGAGCACGCGAGTGCTGTCTGGAGGCAACCCAAGGGTGCCTCTGCAAGAGACTTGTCTCCGCCCACAGGCCCCCTCGGCGACCATGACGAAGGGATTCGCCTCAGCGAAGTCTCGTGTGTGCTTAGATCAGTAAATCGCCATGTCCCTGTGAAGGCCCTTTTGATTGTTGTCATGCATCATCTTGTGTCTTTCACGTGGGGAAAGAGTGGCGTTGATGTGGAAATGCTGGTGCGGCTATTAGAGCGAAATCTGCGCCGTTTGCCGCCTCTCTTAAGTAATTTCACCTATGTACTTCAGTTGGTGGAGGCTGGATGGAATAGCAAGAGCCTTGGCTCTATGTTAAAGCTAAGCGGCGGGGGTTTCGTGCTTCAGGGTTCTATTGATGGTTGCATCCTCGATGAGAAGGTGATCAGGGATACATATTCAGATCCGCTCAGGAAATCAGAGGAAGACAGCAATTATGCCATGAATAGCATATCTGAAAAAATACCAGTATTGAGCGAAAGCACTCCTTCTTCGGTATCGTATTCTAAATTCACGCCTACGTTGATGGATTATCAGCTTCTGATGGCTTTGGAAGCATATGATGCGCTTTCTTTGCTGCCTACGATTCGCACGTACGCTAGTTCGCTGATAGAGCCTGTTCCTACGAGGCTACTTCTTCACACTGTTGTAAACGAGTTTAGTGATGTGTTTTTTATTGGAGGATCTAAAGGTGGCAGGTATGGTGAACAGGTTAATACACGTGCATTGTAATAGAAGCGCAAATAGCACGCAGTACATGAGCGGAGGAATAGTGGCAGCTCGAGTAGCCGAAGGTGGCTTTGACACCTCTTTGTGAAGTTGATAAATCGAATAGAATAGATATTCCTCTTAGCGTCGATTAATACTCACAGCTTCATGAATATTGAAACTGGATAATATAGCTAACCAATTTCGAAATGCTGTTTTCTTTTCTAGCGTCACTTTTTTGATTTCTTCGTGCTAATGCCTTTCTATTTGTGCAAATTTGAAAGCAGAATATGAAATTTGCACTACCAACTGGTTTGGCTAAGCTATTTACTTCTACTTTGTTTTCTTTCGCTTTGCTTTCTTTTATTTTCCAGATATGCGGTTTTTGTCATTCTTTCGCTCACATTTATTTTAGAACGCATACGGAGAGAGAAAGAATTTCTAAGTATATATTCCTGTTGTTATTGAATTCGCATCCTTATTATAGCCTGCAATAATACAATTTTTAAAAGGTATATCTATATCCATATCTATCTATATTTATATGTATAGATATATAGATATATATAGGATTTGTGCTATTAACTTATAATAACTAATAGTACTCAAGAAAAGTATAATAGCAAGGTGCTTAGAAAATACTTTTTTGAGTCACAAAATTTTGCGAAGCATTAATGGAAATGAGTTCAAGTGAAAAAGTTCATTCCAATTTACAAGTTACCCATGAGACAAATCGCACTTCACACCTCTATACAAAAGGAGTTGCAAATAAAATTGCAACAGACAAACCGTTAGAGCAAGTCCGGTCAAACTTCAAAGGTGGTCAAACAAACCGTAGTAATAGTTCCCGGCGTTCAGGCAGCAAGCGCACTCATGATCAGGCGGCAGCAACGGACACATCCAAAAAGACCCTGCCTAATGAAGTAGTCGAGGTGCTAGCACCGCCGTCCAAAAAGAAGAAGGTTACCTATGTACTAGCC